CCAGTTAGTAACCCACACCCTAAGTGCACTCACCATCTTACCTATCTTGATTTTAACACTGCAATTACTAATTGAGGGTTCCACTTAATGAGGTACAATCTACTTTCATGTGTAGATTTTCTAATTAGTGGTTAGGTTAATAGCCATATTTTAGAGGTCCTTATTTTACTTGAAATTGCCATGGTTAGAACATGTACAGCAAGTCTCACCAGTCTGTGTCCATCAGATGACAAAGTCTATTATAAGTTATGACTTTGCCAGAATTATGAAGATGTACCTACTTTAAGAAAGTACCATGCTTGGAAATCTAAGTTTTAAAAAAAGTTATTACATTAGGAATAATCATTTATCTGACTAATCAAACATCTCTCCAGAATACAGAAGAACCTTCAAAATCATATGCACCTTGGATGTTGAGATATGATTTGGCTTTTTCACAGCCCTGAAAGAATGCTCTAGTGCTTAAAATATACCATAGTTGCAAAAATAAGTTTAAAATGGATTAAGAACTTAGTGTGAGACCTGAAACCACAAGAGCCCTAGAAGAGAACACAGGCAGTAATTTTTCTGACATCAGCTATAGCAACACTTTTTTAGATATGTCTCCTGAGGCAAGAGAAATCACAAAATAAATTGGGACTACATCAGCAGAGCAAAGGAAACAATAAAACTGAAAGGCAACCTATGAAATGGGAGAAGATATTTACAAATGACATATCTGATAAAGGGTTAGTATCTAAAAATATATAAAGAACTCCTGCCGCCTGGTGGCTCAGTCAGTTAAGTGTCCTACTCTCGGTTTCAGCTCAGGTCATGATCCTAGAGTCGTGGAATTGAGCCCAGAGTTAGACTCTGCACTAAGCGTGGTGCCTGCTTAAGATTCTCTCTCTCTCTTTCTCTCTCTCTCTCTCCCTCTCCCCCACTTTCACTCTCTCTCTCTCTCTTTGAAATAAAATACATATATTCAAAGAACGTATACAACTCAACACCACAAAAACAAATAATCCAATTTATTTTTTTCAAATAATCCAATTTAAAAGATAGAAGACATGAACAGACATTTCTCCAAAGACGACATACAGATAGCCACAGACACATGAAAATATGCTCAACATCACTAATCATCAGAGAAATTCAAAATCACGATGAGATATCACCTCACACCTGTCAGAATGGCTACAGTCAAAAATACAAAGAACAACAAGAAAATACAAGAAATACAAGAAACAAGAAGTGTTGGCAAGGATGTGGAAGAAAAGGAACTCATGCACCATTAGTGGGAATGCAAACTAGTGCAGCCACTGTGGAAAACATTATGGAGGTTCCTCAAAAAATTAAACATAGAACTACCATATGATCCAGTAATTCCACTACTGGGTGTTTACTCAAAGAATACAAAAACACTAATTTGAGAAGATATACACACCCTTATGTTTATTGCAACATTGTTTACAATAGCCAAATTATGGAAGCAGCCCAGGTGTCCACCGATAGACGAATGGATAAAGATGTGATACACACAGAAGCACACACATGCACACTTACATATGTGTATATATATATACATATATATATATATGTATATATATATATATAAGTATATACAGTGGACTATTATTTATTCATAAAAAAGAATGAAATCTTGCCAGTTGCAACAACATGGGTGGATCTAGAGAGTATAATGTTAAGTGAAATAAGTCAGAGAAGAGACAAATACCATATGATTTCACTCATTTGTGGAATTTAAGAAAAAAATGAACAGAGAAAAATGGAGACAAACCAAAAAACAGACTCTTAACTACGGAGAACAAACTGGCAGTTACCACAAGGAGGTTGGTAGGGGAATGGGTGAAATAGGTGAAGGGGATTAAGTGTTCACTTATCTTGATGAGCCCTAAGTAATATATAGAATTGTTGAATTACTATATTGCATACCTGAAACTAATATAACATTGTATGTTAGGTATACTAGAATTTTTATTTATTTTTCATTTTTTTAATATTTATTTTTGAAGAGAGAGAAAGAGAGAGAGAGAGAGACCGAGCGTGAGTGGAGGAGGGGCAGAGAGGGAGACACAGAATCTGAAGCAGGCTCCTTTGAGATGTCAGCACAGAGCCTGACGTGGGGCTTGAACTCACAAACTGCGAGACCATGACCTGAGCCAAAGTCAGGTGCTTAACTGACTGAGCCACCCAGGAGCCCCTGGAATTTTTTAAGAATACCGTAGTTGTTGCTTTTTTTGTTTTGTTTTGTTTTGATTGATTAGTTGTTTTGTTCTGCATTTTGTGGCAGCTGCTGTTGCATTTAATGTCTTGATATTTTTGGGTGTCAATCTATGGATTATGTCTGATGTGAAGTACTGGATAAAATTTGGGGGCAATGGAAGTCTTGATTTATTCACAATCAATTAAACTACTCATTCAGCAGATAGTCTATTGAGAACCAACTACATTAAAAACAACATTTAGCTTATCTTAAAGAAATGTATATTATAAATATATATAAGTAATTCAATGATATAAAATGTTACAATAACAACAGTTGTGATTAATACTAAAACGTTCTATCTATGTAGTGGGTGGAATAGTGTGCCCCCACGCCCAAATTCATGTCCATCTGGAACCTCAGAATGTGAACTTATTTGTAAATAAGATCTTTACTGATGAACTCCCTCTTCAATTTTGAGAATTTGCTAGTATGGCTCACAGAACTCTGGAAACAGTTTATTTACTATTACTGGTTTCTTATAAAGGGTACAACTCAATAGCCAAAATGGAAGAGGCACAGGGTTGGGTAGGGGGTGGGGGAGAGAACATGGTGTTTCCATGCTCTCTCCAGCACCCTGTACCCCAGCACCTTGATGTGTGCACCAACCCAAAAAACTCTCCAAACCCATCATTTAGGGATATTTATGGAACATCCATTACACAAGCATGATTGATTAAATCCCTGGCCACTGGTAATTGACCTCTCCCCACTTCAGAGTCTGGGGATGGGGTTGAAAGATCCAGCTCTCTAATCACAAGGTTGGTTCCTCTAGCAAACATCTCCCATTCTGAAGCATCTAGATTCCGCCCCCCCCCCCCCATCACCTTATTAGCATAAACTCAGGTGTGATTGAAAGGGGCTTGTTATGAATAACAAAAGATGCTCCTTTCACCCCTATTAGGAAATTTCAGTGGTGTTAGAAGCTCTGTGTCAGGAACCAGGGACAAAGCGCCAATATGTATTTCTTATTGTATCACAGTTTTCTACATGACAAGCATTATGATTTGCCATTACAAGGTCTTAACTACATGAATAAATCCACACTTACAGGAGAAACTCCTAGCTCTCTCCCTTCCAGCTCATTTCTCACCACCTTCTGTACAGATGCCTTGTGATCTAGAAACACCAAACCACACTCCTTTCCTAAACTGGATCTCATCTTTCACGCATTCAGAAATTTACTTCTCTATCTTAAGTGTCCTTTCTTTACCAGCCCTCTTCCTTGGTGAGCCTGCAACTTCCCACTTCCTTTTCATTCAGGAACTAAATCCCTTGAGATGGTAGGGGCTGATATCTTCATTTCACAATGGGGAAACCGAGGCTCAAGAAGGGTTGTGCACTCTAGATCTCTCCCCAGATTACTTGTGCTTTTTAACATCTGCACAACTCCCCACCCTTTGCTTTTGTTCCTGCCACCCCTTCCACTTTTAATCCTCCTCCCTCTCACCCTGATCCATGGAAGTCCTGGCTATCTTTCCAAGCCCAAGGGAAATCCCACCTCCATAAGACTTGCCCAGTGAGCCCATAAAACTTGCCTCTGCACTTCTTTATAAACCCCTCCTGGAAGTTACTTTGTCCCTATAGGGATCTTTACTTAATGGGGACTCAAGTCTTGTTGCAGCAAGTGGAATTCAATTAGTACTAGCCCCAACTCATTCCTCTTTCCTCTATGCTTAGGACTTCAGGGTTGCTCTAATATTTGAACACAAAAAACCTTTCGCATGCTAAGTAAAGCTTCATTTTGACTGACTTCAGGAGAAAGGGAGATATAAACCCATTACTTACAGAAGGTGTTTTATTGTGTTCACCAAAGGATAACGGGGAGAAGAATGCAACAGTATAACAATGAATGAAGGAAATGAAGGAATTCCTGCTTTGGGGGAAGGATACAACAGCTGTGCACCCATCTGTAGGAGTGTTTTCCAAAAGCAAAACAAAACAAACCAAAAAAAAAAAAAAAAAAAAAAAAAAAAAAAAAAAAAAAAGATTGATTATATGCACTGAAGCCAATAGTGAGTACTTTTAAGAGAGAAAAGGGAATATTCCAACACTGGAGTTATCTGCATAGTCTGGATTTGTAAATACTGCTTCAAGACCCTAATTGTGGAAAGGGTTTGCTTGAGGGAATACTTCACTCGAGAATCATTAACTTTTCTGTGTGCTATCTCTTTGAACTTCAAATGAAATAATACAAATAAATGAATATTCACCAGGGCTTCTTCAGGGATTAGAAGAACACCATTTGTGCTGTGAGAGTTTATCCATCACCCCACCCCCGGGCCCAATATGATGTCATTGACCATTTAAAGAAATGAGTTTGTATATTTTTCAAATTTTGTTCTGGAAGAAAAGCCTGTTGCCATTATGCTGAGTTTATTGCCAAAATTGAACACAACTCTTTTATAAAATATATGCAACAAGGTAAGATAAAGAGCAAAATGAAATTTTCCCTATTTCAAAAGATAGAAGTGAAGAATGATCAGTTTGATTAGGCAAACAGGGCATGCCACTTAGAGTGAAAGAATCCCTGAAGCCATGTAAAATACAATGTAAAGAAAGTAATCCTATCTAGCTTCATATTTACAATGGTAGAAGTTACATAATTACTGCATAAATATTCATCAAAATTCTTATGTGAAACCAGGTACAAATGAAATAAAAGAAAGTTATACATCAGATTTATATTATAAGGAAAATAAATCACTAGATGCTGTTGCTCCTGCAATGCTCATCACTGCACATCCCAGATTTCACAGAGAAGTGGGGTAAATTTGTGGTCATTTACTCTCCAAGACATCAGCATCTCGGCATGGTGATGATTGAATGTCCGCAACTCAGTCAGTCGACCCAGGAGACAGGCAAAGTGTTGAGGATTTTCAGGCTGATAAATCTTGCACAGCTTTTGTAGCACATCAAGCAGTGGTTCCTGAAGCTTCTCTACTGCCTCTCTGTCCTTTATGTATTGTCTGTCTGTTTTGAAGTTTAAAATAAGACGACAAAATAAAAAAGTAGAAAAGTATTCATTTGGCATAATAATAGCAATGGTAACTTTCTTGCAACGTAACTTACAAATGTGCACTTCTAAATGTACAAATAACGTGTTCAACTTGATGAATTTTCACACACACACGTATATATTCATGTAATCACAACTAGATCAAGATATAAAACATCTACTGGCCCACCACAGAAGCCTCTCTAAATTCTCCTTTTAATCCATGCCCCCAAAGGTAACCCATATGGTAGACATAAGCATCATTTCTAGTGGGTGTATTCTAAGTAGCAGAATTGCTAGGTCATAGGGTGCATGTGTGTGTGTGTGTGTGTGTGTGTGTGTGTGCAGCTTTAGGATATATGGTCAAGAAATTTTTTTAATTGTAAGTTTTATGGTAAAAAAATTAAGTAACAACTAGTTTCTGCCTCAATATTATATATAAAAACGGTTTAAGGCTAATATTGAAATATTGGAAACATCCTGAATATCCAAACATGGTAACAATTAAGTAAGTGATTGTACATTAATATGATAAATATGATGGATACATATATTTCAACAAAGTTTGAAATATACTGCAAATATAATTTTTTAATGACATGGGAAAAAAAACTTTAAAGAAAAGATAGTATGCTCTATATTATGTTAAAAAAGATGTAAGGGGCACCTGAGTGGCTCAGTCAGCTAAGCGTCCAACTCTTGATCTTGGCTCAGGTCATGATCCCACAGTTCATGAGATTGAGCCCCATGTCATTCCATCTCCACTCTGATAGTGCAGAGCCTGCTTGGGATTTTTCTCTCTCCGTCGCTCCCCTCCTTGTACTCTCTCTCTCTTTCTCTCAATAAATAAATACATACATACATACATACCTACATACATACATAAACTTAAAAGAAAGTAAGTTTAAAAAGGATGTAACTTCCTTTACTTCCCTGTTCAAATTTCAATCCCTTAGAAAAGCCTTTCCTGCCCACCAATTGTAACATTCTGCTGCCACTTTCCTTCCTTATAGCCTCATCTTTATAGTTGTTTTACCATTACCACCTCCTGAAAGTTATTTTTGTTTCTTCATTTATTGTCTTTCTCATCCTACTAGGATGCAAGCTCTATGTAGCTATATTTGGCCTGTTTCTTTACTGCTGTATCCTCCATTGTCTGGAACCATGTTTAGTACATAGTAGGTGTTCCAAACTCAATTATTCAATGAAAGACTTTAATGTTTACAGGAAAGGCTGGGAAGAACTACACTGAAATATTAACAATGATTCCATTTGAGTAGTGGAATTACAGGCCATTTTATTTTTTCTTTATGCCTCTGTGTCTTCTACACTTTTCTTTAAGAAACTTTATTGCTATTATACTGGAGAGGGAGGAGAATAAACAAATGGCATAAAGATAAAAACATAACAATAAAATTACCTGGAGAGAGGATAACAATTGCTGTAAGCAGAGCATACTCTTCTTGAGTCATTTTCAATTCTGCAACACTTTTATAAAAACTAAACATAGGTGTTATATACTCATCAGAGATACCTATGGGGGAAGGATGAAAAATTACAGAGGCATAGTTAAATTTTTGAATGACTAAAAAGTGAGAAACTACAAACATATATACATGCACATGTTAATATTTATGCACAAATAATGTCTATATTTTATTTGTCCAATCAAAGGCAGTTCACTGCAAAGAAGGTCATTTAACAAAATCCTCAATATATAACTTAATCAGCAATGCCTTTATTTTAGTCACTCCTGTCCAACAATAAATCATAATGTTCTTGAATCGCCCAAAGAATCTCCCAACTTCACCATTTTCTGGATGGGGTTTGGTTAATCTTTTTAATATTAATATCTATTGTGGGGAATAAGCTTAAGAATTCCCTGAGCTTGCACCAATGGGTTAACAAGGCTTAGAGCAGAAAGTGGCCACAGGGCAAAAGCGGCCCAGTGTAGAACAAAGAGCAGAGCAGAAATCTGCTTCCACAGGACTAAAGCTTCCTAGAATAGGTAAACAGGTAAAGAGGGCAAAAAAGACCTCCGCCACACCCACCCAACATGGCGGAGAAGTAGGGGGATCCATACCTCCCACATCTCTCAAACAAAGAAGTTGTGAAGCCAAAGGACTTTGAACCCCAACAGTCTGGGAGGAAAAGAGACTGAATCTACCGGGAAGAAAATGGGACAACTTGAGAAACGATAGGTGGGTGATTGTGAATTGGGGAAGATAAAACAGGCTTCGTAGACATGGAGGGGAGGGATCCCCTTCTGCGGAGAGACAAAAGGCAGAGAAGGAGCGGCTGGGGAAGTGCAGGACTGTATCTGGACAAGAGAAAAACCTCCGACTGGGACTGAGAGGGATCCTATCTCTAACTGCAGGGTTTTCTTCAGACTGCGGCCGGGTCCCTGTTTGTGCACCTGGGGAAGAGGGGAGCCAGCCCTGGGTTTGGGGGTAGATCAGGGGAGCAGTCTGCACTAGGAGAAAGTGGCCCCCTCTCAGGAGCACTGTGGGAAAAGACAAAGCCTGCCTGCACCCACCACCCCCAGGGCCCAGCGAGGTTGGCGGGGCAGTCCGCAGTAGGAGAAGGCAACCCTCCCTGAAGTGCTGCGGCACAGACAAAGCTAACTTAAGACCACATATTATGTGCCACACAGAGAGGCGCTTCCCCAGTGTCAGAGCACATGGAGCGGGTCTTTGATTCCCAGCCAAGTCCAGGGTCAGGGGAGTTGGTGGAGCGAGAAGGACAGCCCTGTCTGGGCCCATGGCACAATGAGGATGACTCAAATGGAGTCCACCAGGTCCATGGAGAAGAGACTGGGGGATCGCCATTCCCCCCCCCCTCCACCACCAAGGCAGGGCTTCAGGGATCATCCGAGGGTCCCACAGTGGAGGCAGGACCAGCCTACACCAAACCATGCCCCTCCACACTGGGTAACTGTGTATCTACTGGAGCAAGACAGACCCTGTTTAACCAGATGGACAGCTCCTCTAGACCAGTGCTGCAGCATTGCCTGGATTAATTCCAGGTCAATTCTGGATATACAGATATATTCTCCCCACCATTTTTCCTCCTTATCTCTTCCCTCCTCTAGGCTGGTTACCCTGGTTATTGGTTTGTCTAAACAGACAAATGAAATCAAAGGCATCAAAATTGGCAAAGATGAAGTCAAACTTTCACTTTTCACAGACAACGTGATACTCTACATGGAAAACCTGACAGACTCCACCAAAAGTCTGCTAGAACTGATACATGAATTCAGCAAAGTGGCAGGGTACAAAATTAATGTATAGAAATCGGTTGCATTTTTATACACCAATAATGAAGCAACAGAAAGAGAAATAAAGAAACTGATCCCATTCACAATTGCACCAAGAAGCATAAAATACCTAGGAATAAAACCTAACCAAACATGTAAAAGATCTGTATGCTGAAAACTATAGAAAGCTTACGAAGGAAATTGAAGAAGATACAAAGAAATGGAAAAACATTCCATGCTCATGAATTGGAAGAATAAATACTGTTAAAATGTCAATACTACCCAAAGCAATCTACACATTCAATGCAATCCCAATCAAAATTGCACCAGCATTCTTCTCGAGGCTAGAACAAGCAATCCTAAAATTTATATGGAACCACAAAAGACCCCAAATAGCCAAAGTAATCTTGAAGAACAAAACCAGAATGGGAGGCATCACAATCCCAGACTTTAGCCTCTACTACAAAAGCTGTAATCATCAAGAGAGCATGGTATTGGCACAAAAACAGACACATAGACCAATGGAATAGAATAGAGACCCCAGAATTGGACTCACAAATGTATGGTCAACTAATCTTTGACAAAGCAGGAAAGAATATCCAATGGAAAAAAGACAGTCTCTTTAACAAATGGTGCTGGGAGAACTGGACAGCAACATGCAGAAGAATGAAACTAGACCACTTTCTTACACCATTCACAAAAATAAACTCAAAATGGATGAAGGACTTGAGTGTGGGACAGGAAACCATCAAAACCCTAGAGGAAAAAGTAGGAAAAAACCTCTTTGACCTCAGTCGCAGCAATTTCTTACTCGATACATCTCCAAAGGCAAGGGAATTAAAAGCAAAAAAGAACTATTGGGACCTCATGAAGATAAAAAGCTCTGCACTGCAGAGGAAACAATCAACAAAACTAAAAGGCAACTGACA